TTTCTCTGCTTTATAGGAAAAACATCGGTATTAAACTAACGGTTTGTCTTAATTAGTGCCTAATAAATCCGTTAAAGCCGGTGTTTCTTTAGGTGTTTTAACTAATATGATTTTTTCCATACTCTTAACCACTATTATGAACCTCCTTTCAAACCTTCTATTCGTTGATGGCATGATTGATCATATCTGGTAGTTCCCGGTGAAATGCTGTCTCATTCCTAATCTTCCAAATAGACGACATTATTCGTGGAAATATTCTTTGATCATTCACTTGCTCTATCACTCTCTCTCCTAGTATTTTTCCTTTTTCTCATTTATTAGATTATATTGATTTTGAAGCCTGAAACTACGTACATGAAGCCAAGAAGGATCAAAATCCTTCTAAAACCAATAGAAGGACACAAAGCAATGATATTAAAACCGACAGATAACAGATATAGTCAAATAGCCCCAAACAAGATAAGTAAAACCTTAACAAAGATACACCAAATCAATATTGTCTTAGAACACCAAGCAAAGCGTGAGAGACCAGGAGCCGAAGAAAGGTGAAAATGAGCTTAGATGTATCAAGACACACATTTTGCCTTTTTCTTCAAAATGATTTGAAGCGGACTGAGGCTCATTATATTTGCTCTCACCACGTGTTTAGGACGGAGAGCCAAGAGCACTGATCCGAACCGAAACATCCCCTGAAATCCTGGTTAGGGAACTGATTCTAAACACCCATTTTTTATAGCAAATTCGAGAATCAAGAACTCCGAAAACAAACCGACCAACGCCCGGCCAAAAGAACCGAGAATTGGTTAAAGAGCCACAACTAAAATTTTAAAAAAATCAGAGAAACCCAAATACCAAAAACTACCATATGCAACTCTCTCTCCTAGTCATACTGACGTGGATTACGCCAAAATAAAAAATAATTCATTTAAAAAAAAAATAATTTTACTGGGATTGATGGAATCAACCAATAATATTTTAACTACAGCTAAGGCTACCGACCACCGTGAATCTAAATAATCAGAGATTTTAACTTAAACATTAAGTTTGAACACAAACAATAATATGTAATCTGTTGTTTCGTAGTTAAGGTTGGAGCCTGCATTAAACCCTACCAATAGCTTCTATCTTCTTTTCATGGTATTTTACACGGACCCTACCGTACGAATTAATATTATAGGACTAACTGTGTAATAACTAACTAACTAACTGTCCAATTGGGACGTGGTCCAGCCGTCCAGGCATCAAGAATGGCTCGCCCAATATTCTTGGGGGTTGAGTTTTAGCTTCATTTTATAGAATTCAAAGAAGTTTAAGAACACAGATTTGTAAAAAAATAACTCTCTTTTATTAACCTTTAGAAAAATCACTCAAAAACTAAAGGCTCTCAAATCTCTTTCTCTCAATTCATAAGTGTTTGCAACAACTCTACAACTCCTTATATAGAGAATGGATTAGCTAACTCCTAATTCCAATAGATAAACAAATTTCCTTTTAGATAACTCCTAAATTTCCTTTTAGATAACTCTTAAATTTCCTTTTCTAATCTTAACCTTTTAGAAACACACTTTGATTAGGATTAAGAAACTTGCACTTCAAGTTTCTTTCAAGCTTATTCCAACACATTTTACAATATTGTGATATTGTCACCATTTATGATAATGAAACATTTATATAAAAAGAAAAGGAATGTTTTAATTGGACGTTTGGTCAATATGTTTCGCTATATTGAATTATAATAAGTTGCTCAAGTATACGTTTTCCTCGATCCATATATTGAGCCATCAAATGCCCGTTTGCCTAGGAACCATTTTGGTTGGCTTGGTCCCAAAAAAAACATAGGTTTCTAAATAGTAATGGATTCTTTAGATACCAAAGCAAGTGGCCATTTACACTAGCTTCGCTTAATTTAGTTGATAACTTGATATATGTCCACATCATTCGCACACGCCATGTGACATTACTAAATACAATCATCCAATCCTATGAGTATACTAATTAAATAAAGATATAATGTTTATACGACGGTAAAAAGAAATGAATAATTAGTATTTGGATATTTTCCAGAGTATGCAATATTATGATATCACATTACAAATGTTTCGGTCGTCACATAGAGCATGCAAGTCAGCATGTGAGATGTGCCATGCATGTTAGGTTAAAGTTGGATCAGTTCAATCCTTTCCATATCCATAAAGCATATGACTATCACTCTTATTAACTAACAAATCATAAAGAATTTTATCGCACCATATGTGAGGTTTTCTAGGTGATGTAGCGTGACCTACTCTCTGAGTTTGATTAGGACTCGTTGGTGTTTTTAGACTCCATCTTACAACATTTCCAACCCAAATCCTTATTTTGAGGGTGACAAATCCTTAAAGATAAAAGATAAAATTAAACTTCAATTCTATTTCAAAAAAAAATATATTTTCTATTATAGTTCTCAGTATTCATAATTATTAATTATAATGATAGAATAGAGAACAAATTATAAAAAAAAAATTGAAGATTCAGGATCAAATTTACCATATTATTAGTATTGTATTATGATTTATTTTGTGTAATTTTTATATGTTTATGTTAGTTTCCTGTGTCAATTTACTCTATGTGTTTTGATGTATTTCTATCATATTTAATTATAAAAATGTTATGTAATATTTCTTTTATATTGGTAATTTTAGTTTTAAATTTCAAGTATTTATGTGGTTTTAAAAAGTAAGATTTAACTTTATAAAGATATTTACATTTATAAAAAATTTAGTTATATGAACTAAAATGAAAACTAAAAATAAAAGTAAATTTATTGATAAGATATACAATTATAAGAATTGAAAAATAAAATAAATACTGTTAAGGGTCTGAATAGTGAATCCTCAAATTTAAGGTTTTACTATTCAAAACTTCAAAATTTGAAAAATTAAATGTAAAAAACCTCAAATTTGAAGGTTTAAAAGCTGGGTTGGAAATACTATTAGTCGTAAAAATTTGATTGGATAAACAAAATAACTAACAATTTGGTTATTATGCATCACAATTTTTGTTCTTGCACATTTTTTTTTGAAGGTCTATTCACAGAATTTCTTCGTTATATATATATATATATATTAGAATGGAATTTCATAAATCAACCTAAAAAATGGTGTGGCAGTATTTAGATTATTGTACACTTTTAATTTTAGTCAGTGGGTAGGATGGGGGCAGCTTCCCAAGTAAAAGAAATGATTAATGTAAAATCATAAAAAGGTATTTAACTTGTGTGTTACTAATCCTATTAAGGCTATGATTGGTAACTTGCAGAATGATGGAATTATGTTTTTAAACACAATTTCGCAGGTTTTTTGTCAATCAACAAAAATCTACGAAATAAGAAAATACATACAAAAACGCAGATTGCGTTTTTGCTTAACGAAAATACAAAGGAAAAGTCATTCCGCAAAAAAACGACTTATAAATCGCTTAATCTATTTCGCAAGATTTTTTTCACCATTCCGCCATTCCGCAAGTTTACCAATCAAAGTCTAAATGGCATATATCCAACATGAAGTCGTCATATTGCAACGGAGAAATTGTGGATACAGCTAAGTAGAGTAAAATAAATTGCGTGAGGGATTAAAATTAGCAAACTGAAATAGCAATTTTGTAGGTGTGAAAATGCATTCTTGGACGTAAAGGAAAATGCAAAATGTGTGTTTATTAGTTATGTAAAATTCCCCTACTCTTATAATAACCTAATCCTAGTGCTAGACTCCTATATAGTAGTAGATGGAGGGAGGGAGAGGTGGTGACGTGGATCGCAATATAAGAAGAAGAAGAAATAGAGGAGGAAGATGGTCGGGCCCACGAGAGAGGGAGAGATCGGACGGCTGAGATGAGAGAGGATTCACAAATAACACAAACAGGTAGGGTCCACAAAGATGACTAACGTCCACCGTCCAACTCAGATCAATGATCGATCAGACAGAGAGAGAGACTTGTTGAGAGAGTCCTCGAAGAGATTCACTTTGGTGCGCGTATTGGTTGGGTCCCACACGTACACTCTCTTTGCAGTTAGCCGCCGGTCTGTCTACTCCCCAGACAAACGCCGGTTTTCCACGCCGACGATCGAATATACTGTCTTCGTGTATTGTCTATCTAAAATATTATATACATATATATATATATATATGTCCCCGACGACGTCGTTCCATCGAATGAAAAAAAAAAAGAAAGGGAAGATCAATGGCTGGGATGGTATTGGGACCGTAGATTAGGAGACGTGTGGGTCCTAGTGGCAGTAGAGGCGTTTCTCTTGCTTGTTAAGACTCCACTTCACACTTGATTTTATTAAGAACGAAATTACAAACTATACAACTTTGGAAAAACCCAATATATATATATATATATATATATATTTGCATTGTATCTTCTCTTCTTCTTCTTCTTTTACTTTCGACCTCTCACAGGGCATATAAGTATATCACTTCTATTGAAAACGATTGGAGGAGGTTGAAATATGTTTTCAAAATTCTTGATAGTAATATTCAAAACATTTCAACCCTAATTATATCGGGCTAAGTCTTACAGATAAAATATTTTTAATTAATAAAAACTAATTCTCTTAAAAAAAACTTAAAAAAAAATAGAGAGAAGAGTGGATAGGAAGTGGAATGCAGAAAGAGAGATTTCAATGGATAGACGAGTCACGACGTGACACTTGTTTTTCTGTTGGATTATATCATCTCACTTTTTCAAAAATGTGCTAAACATATCTTTACTACTAACTAAAATTCTGCCTCAAAATGAATGATGACATGTATTGAGGCTATATAGATCACAAGTTTTTTAGAAAGATAAACTAAACAAATCATTAGTAACTCTCTTAACTCTTAAGAATTGTGAACAAACAAAAAAGTGCAGTAGAGACCCAACACATGGGTTAATACTTAATAGTAATACTATTACATTTTTTTTTGGGTATAAACAAGTAATGGAGATAATAAAGATTCGTGGGACGGCGGGCGCATACTGTGAGAGTGTGTCAGACTCATAAGACCCCTTTTTCTCTCTCTCTCTTTATCTTACGAAGATTCCATCAAAGCAGCGAAGCCACACACATACACAGACTACATTACGTGTGTATCTCTCTCTTTCTTCTATATATCCCACTAAAGTTACATTTTCTTTATATAAAAATCAAAAATTCTCTTTTTTCGTCTTCTTCTTGCTTTTTCAATAACACCAGCTTTACCTTTCCACACACACTTCTTCTTCTCTTCTTTTCTCTCTCCTTAGCTTCTTCTTTTTCTTCTTCAAGGTTTTGATCAGCTTGAAATTTTCCATAGCCATGGACACAGCTAAATGGCCTCAGGTATATTTTACTACTTTCTTTTCAGTTTCCTCCTTTATCAGAAAAGCTCTAATAGAACTGTTTTCTCTTAATCTTTCTTTCTTTTCCGATAAAAGTATTCCACCATTTTTTAAAGTTATAAGCTAAACAAGTTAAAATGATATTTTTCTTGTGTGTGATCTAATTGTATATTCTATATGCTTTGTTTGTTTTGTTCCTCACCAAAAAAAAAAAGGAGTTTGTTGTGAAGCCAATGAACGAGATCGTGACAAACACATGCTTGAAACAGCCTAATCCTCCTCCTTCTACTGCTACTGCTGCTGCTCCTCCGGTGGAGAGGAAGGCAAGACCGGAGAAAGATCAGGCTTTGAACTGCCCAAGATGCAACTCCTTAAACACAAAGTTCTGTTACTACAATAACTACAGCTTGACGCAGCCCAGGTATTTCTGTAAGGACTGCAGGAGGTATTGGACCGAAGGTGGGTCGCTTAGGAATATCCCCATAGGTGGTGGTATCAGGAAGAACAAGAGATCTTCCTCTTCCTCTTCCTCTTCCTCTTCTTCTTCTAATTCCAATTCCTCACCCTCGTCCTCTTCGTCTTCAAAGAAGGCTCTTTTTGTCAACAACACCACGCCGCCACCACCACCACTGCCACATGTAAACCCTAAGGATGCCCAGGCGACTGCGACGGCGGCCAAAGTTCAAGACTTGGCGTTTTCTCAGAATGCCCACGAGGTTAAAGATCTCAACTTGGCGTTTTCTCAAGGTTTTGGGATTGCTCATCATCATCATCACACTATCCCTGAGTTTCTGCAAGTAGTACCCAGCAGCATGAAGAACAACCCACTTGTCTCAACCTCCTCGGCTTTGGAGCTTTTAGGGATCTCTAATTCCTCACGCCCTGCTTTCATGCCTTTTCCTAGTGTTCATGACTCATCATCAGTTTACGCAGCAGCCCCCGGGTTTGGTCTGAGTTACCCACAGTTTCAAGAGTTTATGAGACCACCAGCTTTGGGCTTCTCTCTTGACGGTGGGGATTCTCTACATCAAGAAGAAGGGTCCACTCGCACTAACAATGGAAGTAGGCCTTTGCTGACATTTGAGAGCCTGAAACTTCCAGTTTCATTATCAAGCACCAATAGTGGTGGCAATGGGAATGATCACCATCATCACAGCGATCATGAACACGGGAAAGAAGAAGGAGATGCTGACCAATCTGTTGGGTTTTGGAATGGCATGCTAAGTGCTGGTGCCTCTGCTGCCTCTGGTGGTGGTGGATCATGGCAATAAATTATAGTCAAGGACCCAAAGAGCTTTTTTAGAAGGAAATATGAAAAAGCATAAAGTTATATAATTTCATCCACATTTTTAAAGATGAGGGTTAACTACCCATCAGGGTGTTTACTGTATTAGTCCTTTTCTTTTCATATAAAAAAAAGAGTTATTTAACTTCGTTTTGGGTTGGGGATGGATACTGTATGACTTTTGTATTTTAAAATCAAATCTCAGTTGTTCTGCTCGTTACCTAAATTTATGGATTCGATGCATCTGAAGTTCCTAATTTCCTATATTGTTTATTACTCATAAACAAAACAAAAAAAAAAAGAAGAAGAAGAAGATCTATATATTGTAATGTATATGTAAGTGTGCTTAATTTAGGTTAAGCCTAAGAGAACCCATATTTTAATTTTCTATTGTTCCGATTTCAGTCACGTGCTTCCTACATGTGTACTATACTAATTATATCTATAGACTAAAAACATTACTCAAAGCCCTTTTAGTGAAGACTGAAGAGTATGAAGGAGAAGAAAAAAACCCATTTGGCTATTTGTTTGTCATTTAGGAACCCTTGAAAGGAGGGAGTACGGTTGAGTCAAAGCGGCTTTGAGGAGAAAGAGAACCGCAAAACGTTCGGTTTCTCAAGGCAACTTTAACAATTAACAACAACTACCAAAAAAACATAATACTCCAATTAAATTGTACAAATACAAGATAATAATAAAAATAAAATGAAATGGAGCCACCCAAACATTCCCCTCGGACTTCGTATCTCTCTCCATCGTCATCATCATTTCTCCTTCTCTCTCTCTCTCTATCCTCGCACAGAAGATCAAAAACATGTTTGATTGGGTGTAAAGCAATGAAGATTAAATTATGGGAAAAGTGGAAGATGAGTTGGGTTTAAGAGTCCAGCTTACAACCATTAAATGTCAATTATTATTAAATTGGGTTATTTAAGATGATGTTAGACATATTACTACTAGTTAAATGATCTCTAACAGGGTTGGTTCCGTACAACAGAGATTTAAAAAACCTTTAACAAGTCTAAGAACATGTGCATTAACTGTAGAATTTTAATTAGCTAAACCCGTTTTTGTAGTCGCAGTCCAAAAGTCCTCTTGATCTTTGACTCTTTGAGGGAAAATGGCAGAGGCTATTTGCAGATTAAATACAATTTTTAGGACAATATACATATGTAAACAAAAAATAGGAAACCAATATTAGTTTATATATGAAACGTATCTATATAGAGAATAGGTGTGTAGATTTAGTTTCTGTTGCAATTGACTCTCCAACAACACTTTGCGATCAACATCTTCTCATTTTGATTCTTTGTTTGCTTCTACAAATTTGTATTATTATTCGGGTTTAGCTTAGAATTAAGCAACCTCCATGCTATTGGACTATTTCTAATATTTGAGAATACTGTAGTTGGGAATCATTTAGAAAGGATATTTGTAAGAAAGAAAAAAAAAGAATTTACATTTTTGATTTTTATTCTGCTGATGGACGGGCCGACGTAAAAGAAGGAACCGATTGGACTAATGCTTTTGTAGCCCAAAGGAAAAGAGTCACATCAAAACATGGCTCACTCACTAATCGTAATCAAATATCCTCTTTCTTCTTTTTCTTCTGGATTTCACAATAACAGTATAAGTTAGCAAGCAACAATGACCAAAAGTCTCGACTGTATAACGTAAAATTTTAAAATTTACTAAACCGCGGGTTGAGACTTACAAACCCTTCTCTCTGACTTCTTTGGCTTTTACATTAATAACGAGGAAAATCTAAGAAGAAGAAGACAAAAGTGGCATATATGTATGTGTCATTTCAAGGCTCCATCCATCCATGATGATGGTCAGACATATATATATATATATATATATCTGAGTTCATTATAACGCATATGGTGGTGGTTTCATTGGTCTGCATTGATTCCAAAGATGCGAACCTTGTGCATGTGTGGGAACTTTGCAACCACCATTATAAATACAGCAAGCGTGTTCAGAAAGAGCATCGGATGTTGATAGTCTGTCGTGTGAGATGCTATCAAGTACCTAAAACCCAAAGTTCAAAACACAAGTTTCATTCATAACAAGATCCATCCACCAGTAAAAATGTCAAAAAAACATCCTAGTATATCTATATATTGTAGTTGTCCCACCACACTAGACAAAACAACAGATATGGTTTCAGATATTGTCATAATACAGTAGGTGGAAATGTAAGGCTAATAAATAGGCCGAAACACTAAGAGAAGCTAAATCCTAACCCATCATATCAGCAAGTATGATCAAACCCAACCAAGACAACATAGAAACGATAACAACAGCTGGTATAAGAATTTCCTCAAGAGAAAAAAAGAATGAGGTTGACATAAAACAAGGAGATAGAAAGAGGCAATTGATGTACATGAACAAAAAAAGAAGAAGAAATAATTAATCTGAACAAAGTAGCAATGTTAACTTATGACACCAATCTCTGTCTCTGTACCAAGGAATGTAAACGAAAGGGGGTTCAGATTTATGTCACAAAATAACGCTAAAAATGGAGAAGAGGAAAGGAAAGATGATTCACTTCTTTGAACATTGGAAAAGGGTTATGCAAATGGTAGGCACACAGAGAATGGCGAAAGATTCAATATTGCTGAGTAACTAGCTATAGGCAAAGGGAACAAGACAAAGGAGAAAGAAAGAAAGCATATCAAAAAGGGATGGGGAATGCAGAGGAGTAAGGCAGGACAAGTGTATCAATCAATCCTGAGAAGTAAAAGCAATAAAGAAGTGAGAAGCAAAGAGAACATACAAGACAACAGGAACAAGAGTGAGGAACTTGCGATTGCGAGTGAGCTGCTTGCCGTTGTCAATCTGTTCCCACCAAGTCAACCTGTTGTAGATTCCCTGGTCATCCCCAAACGGTGTTCCCTTCTTCCAGTGAAAGAAATGATATGTAACCTAAAGGCAAGCCAACAATCGATTGGTTCATTCCACAACAATTCGTTGATTCACTCATTGATTGATTGATACAATACAAACTACAATACGATCTGATCTGATTGAAATCAAAATGAATCAAAGAACAAAAAGACGTACGGAGAAATGAGCGAGGTGGACGATGGTCCAGGCCATGCCAGGGGAGCAGTTGAAGATGGAGAGAACGAGGAGCCAGCCGAAGAAGAGGATGAGGATGTAAGTCGTCCACACACCTGGATACGTGAACCACTCCGTGTTCCGATTCACATCCGTCGTCGGAACCGCCCGTACGTACATCATTCACCTTCGATTGGATCTTCTCTTTCCTAGTTTCCTTTCCTTTCTTCTCCAAATTTCGATCGCCCTCCGATTTTGACGATGATGATGATGATGATGATGATGATTATTGATCCTTTTCTTCTTCTCGATTTCTATTTTATTTCCCCCTTCCTTCCTTCCTGCCTTCCTTCCCCGTCTCTGATCTCTCTCTCTCTCTCTCTCCAAAGCACGAAACACATCTCGCTCTTCTCTCTCGCATTCGCTTAGGCTGGGCCAGAATACTATTGGGCTTTCATAAGCCCATCATTATTAAGCCTCTCTTGCATTATCAAGCCCATCCTTATTCTTGAATATGATAAAACAATGAGCTCTTTCAAATTAGAAAAAACAAAAACAGTTGTAAAAAAAAAAAGCCTTTTAATATTTATTTATTATTATTGTGTGTGTGAGAGTGTGGGTGGGAAAAAGATAATCTGACAGGCTGGGCAGAGTTTGCCTCCTCATATCCGACACTGAACCCTCAAAATCAACATGTCATTCGAGCTGCCTATCCAATCCTTTTCTTCCACGTCTTCTTCTTCAGGAATCTTTCGTCCTCCTCGTCGCTCGTGAAACAGCTCCCGCGCTTTTTATGGCCACACTACCACCAATTTTTGTTTTTAAACCTTTTTCTTTCTTTCTCTTTTTTAGAATTATGTACTTTTATTTGGAAACACTTTCGTCTAACTATGGCTTGTATGTTACTGTTATATGTGTAAAACAGTATTTAACGGCTAATTAATCCAAATTCTATACAATTATTACGTGTAAAATAATACTATGTATTATCCAGTCTGCAAGTGAGGATTCTGAAATTATAACAAACAAAAATAAGAGTCAAGATAAAAAAAAAAGATTTTGGGAGTCCAACCACTTAAAATGGATATAAGTTGTGGGGGCAGGGTGAAATCAAGTGCCAATATATAGACAAAAAGACAATCAAATAATATACTAATTTTCTGTTAAAAAAAAAGAAATTGGTTGAATTGTACGAAGAAGAGACATTCCCTGACAAACGGTGTTTTGTTCAAAGTAGGAAAATGATTGTATGGGTGCTTATGCACCGTAACACCTCCAACTCTACCTTATCGTGGGCCGCACCTTGGAGTTTGCGAATGTTCATGATTGGTTTACTTTCCTCTTTTACAATGTTTTTGTCATTTTCAAAATACAACTATTAGATTATTAACTTGCTAATCCTACTTGTTCTCCAAACAAGAATCGCTCTTATCTCTCACCTAGGCCTGGGCTTTAAAACGGAACCCGACTGACCCGACCTGACCCGAAAAACAGGGTTCAGGTTTATTTTGGTTCTACTGTTAAATTCGATTGGTTTGGTGTAAATGATTTTTGGTTTTAATTTCGGTTCGGGTCAAACCCGAGATCCATTCTGCGACCCGAAAAAATATATATCATATATATTATATCGATATACATTTACATATATTATAAATTTTCTAAATTTTTTCTCTGATATCGCCGGTTTCACTTCTATCTTCACTGAAACTTGACTATAAACTTAAATTCGACAATATAGAAGCATTATCTCGTCATTCTCCTCATTCATCTTCGTCTAGAATCCAATTGCAGGTGATTCTAAACTCTTTTTCGTATGTTTTTTTTTTGTTTTTTGCAATCTACAATTCGATTTTGTCCGACCCGAGGAACCAACCCGAACTCGACCCGAGGACCCGTATGCCTAGGGCTACTCTCACCAAATTCATTTTTTTGCGTTTTTAATTATCTTCATATATACGATAATCCTCTACTAGTTTAAATATAAATTGAAAGCGTATATGGAGATGAGTAATTTTTTTCTTAAATATAGCATTGAAGCTAAACATTTACTACCATCTCCTTAGCTATTTTGAGAGATAAGATAGTATCATCTTATTTTAATATCATCAACTTCAATATAATTTCATAAACAAGAAGTTGTACAAAAACCATACTAAACTTTGGAAGTTGTTTTTTTTCCTTATCATCTACTTTTTCTTTTTTAACCATGAGAAATTCAAAAAGTTGTTTAGGTCCAAAGATTAATTCCATATTTACATTTGGATATGCGTTTGAAATATTCTAAATTTTAAAGCACAGTTAGATATGATCAAGTTGACTCGAACCCGGAACTATCCTACTTGGGAGTTACCACTAGGTCAGAACAAATTGGTTCTTGTAATCTACTTTTATATATGTAATAGAGATATTGTACAAAAACCAACAGCAAGCCTAATGGTTAGGATTAAAATTTTATAAATAGTTAGAAAGAAATTTAATTTGATGAAAGGTTAAAAAATTGATCCAGATTAAAACCGATTGTAAAACCTAATAACCAGTTCGCATATTTGCGTTATAACACAAATGCAGTTATAACTATTATTTATAATTACGTCATTACGTGAGTAGTATACTGTATAATTTTCCAATAGCAAATATTAACTGTGATTGTAATTGTATTCATATATATAATTTGCATAATATAATAAAAAAATTATGGCCGATCTTTACCGATCGATAATCGCCAAGTAAGATGATAAAGGCAATAACGATGTGATCATTCAAACGATAAATTGACTTCTTCTCTTTCTTTTTTCTTTTTCTTTTTTTTTGTCAAGAGAAATTGACTGTCAAAATCATTGCGGCGAAATTATTACGTGTTACATATAAATTTGTGGTCTATATATGAGGAAAATCGTCGATAAAGCACAATGATACATCCTCGAGAGAATCCCATGCATAAATTTAAAACCAAATAAAAACTGATTAAAGATGATTCCATTTTAATTAAATCATATCGATCCATTACTAAATCATTCCATTTTGCATCGTAATAACATAAACAACTTGTGCTAACCTTTTATCAATAACCACAATTTGATCGTCACTTCATCAGCTATTTAGTTTTAGATAGTGGTGTCTAAATATGTGGCTACTGCCGGCTACTGTCTATTATATCTGCTTACTTTTATTTTACTTCAGTAACTAGATATCTTCATATATATATATATATATATATAAGTAAAAATAACATGTCTTCTTAAAAAATATTGCCATTTTCATTTGTCTGTTGATAAATTTTCACATTCGAATTCTTTTATAGAGTGAGTATTGTAATATTTTACCATTAAGACATTATTCAATTGTTGAATATGTCTAAGTTTAAGTTATTCATAACTATCAACTATGTATGGTTCTATGTTATATACAAACATGAAAATTTCGTACGTTAAACAGGAATACACGTATAAGCATTATTCTCAACTTCGTAGAGTCTAGAGAATTTTCGTCGGGATCGATCCATGTGTTACAAATATTTTTTAATTTTATTTATTTGTGAAATATATATATTAGATTAATCAGAAGTATGTTGACCACGGTGCTTTATATGGATTTTTGGAAAGTTCGGAACGATATGCTCTTTCAATGATTAATAAAGGAACCTCTGAATATTTTGGAGCACGATTAATCAAAATGTAAAGCACCGTGGGAAGCTAAAGGGTTCAAAGATGCTGGACAGTGGGCACCGAGATCCTTCTATTATAACGATTCAAGCTCGAGACAAGAATTCCAAAGGAATGTTGTTGCATCGGCTTTGGTAGCGTAAACGTCAAGGCCAAGCAATAGATCAGCATGATTGAAGCTCTTTGTCGCTTATGGCCTTGGTCTCAATAGGAAAACAAGATAATAGTTTGAAAGAAACTCTCGTTTTCTTTATTAAGCAAAGTTGATATATATATGTCAATATGAATGTGTGTATTCATGACAACAAACGAGCCTTGAATATATAACTTGGTTGGTTGGAGTTAATGATTTACGTAACTTAATTAATGACATGGCATACATATACAAAAATTATGGTTTCACATATATATATATATGTATGTATATATATATGTATGTGTGTGTGTGTGTGTGTGTGTGTGTGTGTGTGTGTGTGTGTGTGTGTGTGTGTGTATGTGTGTAAAAAGGGAATGATGATAGTTGATGGTAGTGGGAAATAGCATGATGGTGTTACCATAAGAGTCTCTTAACAAATATAAGGATACCCATCGAAGTTGGTCCTTTCTTTGGGACAAAGCGTGCCTTGTTTCCCCTTTCCCCTTTTTGATATTCCATTGCATCTCAAATTATATATATTCATTTTCATTTTGCCACATTAATTTTAGATATATACTGTGCTAACGTATTAAAATGTGAACTTTGGTATGTATATGTAACTCCCAAAGCTGACATAAACACTTTGAACCTTTATTGATCACAAGATAAATATTTATTGTACAAGATTTTAGGTTGAACTCCTACGAGATCGGAGAATATAAAATATGCAGTAGAATAGAAAATATATGATATATCTTAAATTGATACATATCGAAGATATATCCTACCAGTAACGATAATCAATACGTAATTAAACTCAAATGAAATCGACTGATCAGAGATAAAGACATTATAGTATCTACATAGAATGCAAAGAATTACAATTTTTTTAATGGAGAATTTGGGAATTATAAAAAATAGTAGTTGTGTTACCTGAAACAAAAGGGTTATTTTACTTTGAAGACAACAGTGTTTTTTTTCTTTCAAATCTAAAAAATGACAGAATAACTGAAACTGATGTTCCATAAAAACAATGCAGTTCACCATATTGGTTTCTAATGGAAAGAAGATAAAAAAATAGTACTAGATCATTTTATATGAAATAAAAATATATTTACATACTCAAACCAATTAATTTTTCCAACTATAAATCAACAGACTTTTGAAACGATCAACATAATCCGAATAGTAGAATTCAAATATAATGTAATTACAATTTTAATGTGGGACTCAGTCCAAGCTAAAATAATCAATCTTGAATGTATATGTTATGAATCCTGCATTTGAATTTAGAAGAAATATAAAGTAATAGAAAATAATTATTTTTAAAAATATTATATTTTAAAGTGGTTTTAAGTTTAAGTTCACAAATATTAAAAATAATGTTGTCGGAAATAGTTTTCCTTTTTCTGGCTACACCCAGTATGAATTTGAAGTTGAGAACATTAAACTTAAGGCACACTACGATAATAAAATGCATGTTACATAAAAGCATGGACGACGAAGTGATGCATATTGTACAAATTTACTAATAAAATGATTATGAATATCTTAGTGATTTTTTTGAGTATCATAGTGCATTCTGTTGACAAATGTTAATTAGTTTGGTAAAGTTTCTCATAAGCGATGAAGAAAGAATTCTGTTCTCTATTTATTTTAAAGGAAAGTTTCTAAAATGATTTATCTATTTATACAAAAAAACAAGTGTACAACATAAAATCCCACTTTTTGGATTTAGTTCACCACTTTCGGACACCGTTGGAATAAAAATGGAAAGTTTTGAAAAAGGAAAATAAAACAATCAAAGAAGAAAAGGATTAAGAGAAAATCTTGATGCCGTTGACTTTTGTCTCAACGGCCATGATTGAGCGTGTGATGAGTATAAGAGACCAAATTATGGCTATTCCTAACAAATCCAAGAAACAAATTGTTGAGATATTCGTCATTTGATTTGTATTTATAATCAGTTTCCATTTCTAGATTTGTAGATATCTGTAATTTATTCTCTACCACTACCAGAAAGCTAAAAAGAATGTTGAACTAAAGTGATATATGTAGGTCACTAATGTGTGTGGTGTGGAGATGTTGCCAGTAACAAAAATGGGTGTCAAATATTGACGCATGTGATTCTAACGTTTACGGGTCTGTTCGACGCTGCGGTTGCGGCAGCGGCGAACAAAAAATAGTTATAATGGAAAGTAAAGTAGCCGCGACGGCAACAAAATCAGTCGCTGCAAATGGTCGCGGGTGTTATCAGTGGGATCTCTTATGGACGCTGAAATTTTCAGCGTCACTGCTCATGAGCAAAATGACCGGCGGCGTCTTTCCTCGACGGCTCTAATGTAACACCGACCAGTTTCGTCACCGTCGTATCATGCTGGGGACCACTGTCGTTTTGCACAATTTTTTGTGCCGCTGTCGCAACCGCAGCGTTTTCTAAAAGAACAGACCTTACTATTTAAGTATTTTATATGTTCTGCACGTCGAAGCTCTAGTTTTCTGTTTATATCGTATTTCTATAGTAACATATTCATTAACTTATGCATTTAAAGGTCGATATGTCTTATAGTCAGAGTCAGAGATTAAGAAGAGATCCATAGTTTAGAGTATAGTTTTTGACAACCGCTGAAAACAATAAAAAATAAAATGCCTAAATTCATTTAATACTCATCTACAAGAATAATAACTATCGTCATATAGCAGTTTTTATAGAAATTAGCTTTGCAGACAAAATATTTATTCTAATTTTTTTTAAAACAAAATAAAAGAAAAAAAGAAGTGTTTGCCAACAATTTTGTGTGTTCTTCTATATAATCTTACAATATGCTGTCTGAATGGATGAAATATAATCGTTCTCAAGACTGCGTATAACCGTATTTTTATCACAAAAGACCACAATTAACTAAATATATCTATGATACATTGATATGGTTTCAATAGAAAGCCTTTTTTTTTTTTTTTTTTAAAAAGAAGCTTTAAGGATAGTATATATATTCTGATATCCTTCTGAATACATATATACTATATATTATTAAACTTTATGTAGATTATGTGATTGGTGACGAAGACATTTGTGCTAAGCAGTTTATATATATAATCCATGAAGAAGTGGATTCAGAACTAAGTAAGTCAAGATTATCATACCAAGAATTCAAGATTTAGGTGACACATGTTTGGGGGACCTCATTGGCCCATAAGAGGCGTTTAATTAAGCTTTAATTTATAGAGATAGGCCTGAATTTTTCGGGAAGGGTAACCCGTCCCATCTCGTACCCGTCCTGAAATTCCCGAATTTTTCGAGAAAGGGAAATTATAATTTCCCATTCGGGATTGAAAATAATATTTGAATGGGTAAAGGAAAGGGTAGGGACGGGAATGGAAATATCCGAACTTTCTGTTGGGTAATTATATAAAGTAAAATTTTAGAGATTTCGGTTATTTAAATTTTTTTTTATAATAAATAATGATTTTTCCAATTTATTAACAAATAATATTTTTTAAAAAAAAAAACAAAAATTGATTTTAATCTAATTATCTGAATTATCCGAAATTTTTCCCATTTCTTTTCCGTTCTTTTCCCGATTATATTTTATTTTGGGATTGTATGGGAAGTATGTTTTGATTCTCGAATTTTCCGTTCCCGTCCCATACCCGTAAATTCCCTTTCCGTTATTTTGTGGGAATACTTTGGGTAGTATATTCAGATTCCCGAAATTCTCATTCCCATCCCCTACCCGTCAATTCCCGTCCTAATTCCCAAAAAATTCAGGCCTAGAGATAACTATAGTCATGTTATAATAACATCTTTTTTTTTGTTAAAGAAAATAATACAATAACATCCTTGTACAATAAGTAGAGGGTTTAAATACCCTTACGCCAACTTTAACCCTTTCCGTGTGTAAATTTATATGTATGTTATTCTTATTCTCAATGATTTTAGGCAACGTAAAACTAAATGATACTAATTTTATAATGAAAAACAAAAATCTCAAAACAAGATATACACTGATATTTCTATTACAATAGCACTCGAAAAACTGGTCTTTAACGTAGGTCGAAAAAAGAAGAAAAAAACTGATCTTTAACGTAGAAGATACCCGGTTAACATCTCAATTGATATATCTCATACACTTAATTATATTTTGGTAGTGTTGACAAAAAAATATTTTAGTAGTTTTTAGTATCAAATAATATATATCCTATGTCTATCTCTCTCAAAGCATCTCCAATGTATTTTTTTTCATTTTTATCTCAAAAATGGAGTAACTCTAAAATAGAGTTCAGTTTCTCTTCAATGTATTTTTTTTCATTTTCAACTCCAAAAAACATTTTAAATTTGTTTTTAATTTTATAATTAATTACTAATAATACATTTTAGTTATAAAAATTACAAATGAACATATTCATTTTTTTCTTTCCTTTAAAAACTTTTATAAATTATAATATTATTCTAAAATTCAACCATTGTAATATTAAAATAACATTACACAATACTAAAATAACAAAATAAAGTACATTTTAATTTAATTATCACCGATGTTATTTCTATTTTCAGGTAATACTATTATATTTTTTATTTTCTATCTTCAATTTTAAATCTATCTATCTTTTATTTTGAATTAAGTATATATAATATGAAAAATTAAATTATAAATAAAAAATATAGTATTAAGAATTTATAAAAGTGAATGAGTAATTTGTAAATTAAGTTCACTGCAAAATAGAGTTGAAAATAAGATTACTTTATATTTGAAGGAAAAAATGATATTTCTCTATTTTATAAGTGAAAATGGAGTAGAATTGGAGAAAAGTTTTCCTTAAAATAACATTTAGAATAAAAATGAGGTAGTATTGAAATTGCCCTTACAAATTTAATTCCTAGATATGATATATATATACATTAATTAGTTTAACCAGATATATCAAGAAACGAGGAAGAAAGGAAAATGTATCAGAAGATCAGAAGATGATCGGAAGAAGAAACCCCCAGCCCCATTATCTATATATTTTTTTTTTTTGTTCGGTGGGGATCATATCCACATCTTTCAAAAAATATATAATTATTTATCACTCCTTTTTCAAATTATCTTACTTTTTGTTTTTTGTTTTCCTTCTGTATCACAAATTTCCATACTACTACTATTCTTCTTCAAATTTCAAAAGGTAGAGTATATTATTAATATTAAAGTATCTCATGAATTCGTATCGAGTATTCATTAATCTGTATTGAAGTAAAATAAAACCCCCCTTTATGGAAATGATACCTCGAAGATCCTCTCATATGTTAGTATTAAATTTCAAAAGACAACAAATAAATATATGAGATATCCCATAAAAGCAAGCAAACTTTCATTAACCGGTAATAGCCGGTGCCATTTCTCGTCACTTCCGGGGCAAAAGCGTGACTTGACACCGGCAGGCAAATCAAAACATTTAATGCCTAAAAAAACTTCTCTCTCCTCTTCCTCAGACAAAAAGGGCTCTTCCACTTCCTATCGAACTACAGAAGACCTTTCAATATCTGTACACACCACATTATACACATATATATATATATAATTATATATATAAACCTTTTGCTTATGTTATTTTTGTGGAAGGAAAAAAGCTTTAAAACTCCTTTTAATTGCTTGAACAAAAAGCAAAAACAAGGAATTCTCTCTGTGTCTCAGTTTTTTTTTTCTGCAGATTAAAGAAAACCCTAAACCGACATTTCTCCTCTGTTTCCCAGCTTTTTTATCTTTGGAGTTTGGTTTCTGGAGAAGACAAAAGTCTCTGTCTTTTTAAGAGCTCGAGATCCATACCATATAGTATAAGTGGAGAAGTCTTCTCGAGTTTCATAAAAGTTGGGCCTGGTTTTCGGTTTGGATTCTCAATTTTTTTGGTGACGATGGATTTGGATGTTAAGCAGATATTGAAGAGTCTCTGTTTCAGCCATGGATGGTCTTATGCTGTCTTTTGGGGATATGATCCCATTAATCCCATGTAATTTCTCTTCTCTTTTTATTTTCATTTTCCTTGGAGGGTTTTACGCATGTTTCTTTCTTGGATAGGCTAAATTTGCAGCTTCTTGCTTTAGGTTCGAATTTGAATTCGTTGACTTTTGAAAAAATTATAGTATTTAGTTTCCATAACTACAATTAATTATCATGGATGAATGGTAAATTATGATTTCAGGTTATTGAGATTTAAAGAAGCGCATAAATATGATGAAGCATCAGCGGCACTCGCTGATGATATGATTCTCCAGGCTCATGATCATATCTTAGGCCAAGGGTAAGAAGCTCTCCTACAATTCAATCATGTATATATATATATATATACAACATATATATATATATATATGTATGTTCTTCATTAATTAGTCTTTTTTTTATATGGCTCCAGAATCGTGGGAGAAGCTGCCTTAACCGGAAACTATCGATGGCTGTTCTCAGACACACTGTTTCAGGTTTGTTCTCCTTCTTCACAGTTTGTTTTTTGTTCTGTGAAGAAAAGAATAAGGATTTAATATCTATGTTGTTTGATTGTTTTGCAGTGTGAACAAGAGTTTCAGAATCAGTTTCTCTCTGGCTTTAAGGTAAATTTTAATTGTCTTAAAGTTTAAGGATTCATTGGAGTCGGATTATAATATGCAGTTTCCGATGTTTAATTTACAGACAATCGCAATCATTCCAGTAGGATCAAGCGGCGTTGTTCAGTTAGGCTCTACTCAAAAGGTTTGTACATAAAACATAACAAAATGTATATTCTTGCTGTGGAAGTCATGGACTAATCAGTTTTTGTTTTTTCTTTCTATCTATCTTTGAGATTGTTGAGAGCCCAGAGATGTTGGAACAAACAACAAGAGCTCTGCTGGATTGTTGTTTGAAACAACAAGATCAATCGGATAGTTTGTTCGAGTCCCTATTACCACTGGGAGACTGCAGTGAGATCATGAATGTCCCTGAATCTTTTCAAGGACTCAGCTTTGATGTTGACTTCTTCACCGACGATAATCCTCCTTCTTTGCTCATCTCTGATAAAACCTCCGAACCTCCTCATCTAAGCAACTATGGAGATGATTTTGGGTTCGACATTCTCAGCTCTTACTCTCTGGACGATCTGTACGAGCTGCTCGCTGATTCCCCACAACAGAATTGCTCATCAGGTGATCATCAGGAGACTTCCATGGTGATCCAAGGAAATAATGATGACGACAAGGATCTTTTCGACATATTTGAGATGATCAACTCTGATGATTCTCCCTCGGTTACTAGCCATCAAGGAACGCCTTTGGACTTGCGGCCTAAAGGACTCTTCTCTGAGATCATAAGCAGCAGCCTTAGCAACAGCACTTGCAGCTCTCTCATAAACTATGCGCAAGAATCTTATTCTTGTCTGAATCATCAGAGCAAAAGACGGAAACTTGAATCATCATCATCATCAGCGCATAGCTCAAGCTTCTTTCCGCAGATGATGTCTCATGCGGAGACAGTAACACCTCCTCCTCCTCTTAACCTCCATGATCCGCAGAGGAGCCTGTGGATTGATGAAGACAGGTCAAGCGTCGCAGGGAATTGGAAGAAGCAGCCTCACGAAGAAGGTGTGAAGAAGAAAAGAGCAAAGGCAGGAGAAAGCAGGAGGCCGAGGCCTAAGGACCGTCAGATGATACAAGACCGTATCAAGGAGTTACGAGGGATGATTCCAAATGGAGCAAAGGTAGTAATAATATTATACATTACTTGACGACACCTTAATTAATATTCTCTTACTTAGATATTAATTAGCATTGAGATCGATCACAAATGATTGAATATCTTAGTGTTTTGAATTGAACAGTGTAGCATTGATACGCTGCTTGATCTCACGATAAGACACATGCTGTTCATGCAAAGCATCGCCAAGTACGCTGACAAACTCAAACAACCATACGAGCCTAAGGTGAGTGAGTGAGAGAGAAATCGCTCAATCAATCAAATCTACCTTTTTTTTGTTTGATGATGATTATATATGATCATTGAATTGGCAATGTAAATATTGATGAATTAATGATATCAGCTGGTGAAGGAGAATGAGAGAACATGGGCGTTGGAAGTTGGGGAAGATGAGTCGGTCGTATGTCCAATCATCGTGGAGGATTTGAAGCCACAAGGCCAAATGCAGATAGAGATGGTGTGCGAGGAAACTGGTGAGAGGTTTCTAGAGATTGCAGATGTAGTGAGAAATTTGGGACTGAACATATTGAAAGGAGTTATGGAAACAAGACAGGGACAAATATGGGCACACTTCATCGTCGAGGCGAAGCCACATGTCACAAGGCTTCAACTCTTATGCTCTCTTGTTCACCTCTTCCAACAACACTCTTCTTCCCAACCCCACCAAACATGACTTATAGGACTCACTTACTTTCTTGATTTTAGATCTGATTCTTTCTTCTTTTCTCTTTGATTGGTTTATCAAAAAAAAAAAAAAAAGATCTGTTGATAGTTTAGTTCCATCCCAACGAATTTGTAGTAGAAACATCACATAAAAGATTTTGGCTTTAAACATTGAGTGTGTCTGTGTGTGTTTGTTTGGATGAAAGAAAACGGCTTATAAGACATACCAAAGATGGCTCATTTGAAAAATATGACGGATAAGTAATAATATTCAAAAGCGGGGTATAGACTCATGAGATTGTGAACCGTGATTTCAATCTCATCACTTCAGGTCCCATGCTATTAGGATAAGTATATAGGATTATCTTGTAGATATATCGTCCAATGTATATTTCATTAGATTTTAGTTAGTCTTGTTATATGTTGACCTTGAGGTCACAAAGCAATAGCAAGAGAAGTTTATTCAATTTATCGACTCTTGATTAATTACATGACTGCATCCTTCGTATGCAGCAAGCCAGCAACGCGACCACGTGTGGCTTTGCATCGACGATGAAGTGTGCCCATAATTGTCCCTGTCTCAGTTTAGATGCACACACTGTCTTCTTTTCTCTTTTCTTTTGGCTCGCTAATAAGGTAACAAGCACAGTGCATGTAGATAGTTCTAACCAATCTAATGGCTCTATTGCCTCAGCCTCAGACGACTGAACTATCTTCTTCAGTTTCAAAGAAGGTGCAGATCTTCCAAGGGAGCTGTTAGCAATATCCTCCAAAAGCACTGCATGTAACATATCAGTAAAAACAATATTCTTTGTCCCAAAAATGAAACCAAATTAGTTTTATGTTTGTTTTTATCGGCATATGAAAAGATAAGATTGTTCCATGCTACTTATAATCCTTGATTGGTAACCTGCGGAATGGCGAAATTGCGTTTTTAAACACAATTCTGCAGGTTTTTTTCTAATCAACAAAAATCCGCGTAATGAAAAAATACATACAAAAACGCAGACTGCATTTTTGCTTAACAAAAATATAAAGGAAAAATCATTCCGCAGAAAAGCGACTTATAAGTCGCTTAATTTATTCCGCAAGATTTTTTCCGCAATTCCGCCATTCCGCAAAGTTACCAATCAAAGCCTTAGTTTCATCCAAAAGAGTTTTGTAGTAGAAAGATTATATGAAAAAATTGGGTTTTAAGCTTTGGGTGGATTTGAATATAAGAAACAGGCCCGTAAACAGAGAAGAAGCTACAGAGAACGCAAAACAGAATTGGATGAGTTTGCCAAAGTGCGCACAAGCAGTTTTTGGTTTTTGGAATTGCTGCTTCTGTTCTGGCCATTCTTTTTTTTTTTTTTTACTTTCTTTATTTTAGTTTGTTTCACTGCGTCATTATGTGCTATCAGTCAGAGTTACCATTCCTTGCCGCTTTGTTTTATGCATTGCATTGCATCAGGAATCAAAGTTAACGAACAACATTGTGTTTAATAACAGCAAATTAACTTCTGCTATGGAAGTTGAAAATTTATAAACACGTACATGAATTGTTTGATTATAACAGAATCATAGTAAGATGATTTGGAAAGAAATTTCTAGTTTATGAAATTAAAGAAAATCCGAATTGACGAGAAATGGAGAGATTCGGAGCCGTTTAATGTATTAAAAAATTAAGAGATACTAATAAAGAAGGAACCAATCATCTTTGCATTTTGGAAAAAAAAAAGTAAAATAATAATAAAGGGAATATTAAAAAAATGGCCATTTCACATGATAGCACCGACGACGACAGCGCAGGCCAGGGAAGCAACGACGGTGGTGAAAGCGGAAATGGACGACGGAGACGACGAAGATTTCTGAGAGAGAGGGATCGAACCAAAGGCGTTTTGGTAAGAGGGAGCGTCGGCATCGGCGGAAGACGACGGAGACAAGGCGTCGTCTGCTTCGGCGGAGTAGGTGCCGACGGAGACGAGGAGCTTCTGGTACTTGAGACAGTGGCCGGGATGTCCACTTGTGAAGTAAAAGGTTCCGTTTTGGGTGAGGTTGAAGACAGAGTTGCCGTCGTTCATGTACAAGATTGGATCTTTGGTGTTGCAGCTCTTGAAATTGGATGGCGTCACTTGGATCATTGAATCTTCGCTTGGTGGGTACAAGAACACTGTTTCGTTGAATTGCACCCAATGATGGTTTTTAGAGATTATTTGAATTTTGAAAGAAAAGAGAATGAATAATGATTTGATTGAATGATTACTTACAGAGGGAGTCACCGATCTTGAAAGAGTGAGATTTGGGCCATTTGGAGTAGACTTTAGCATCAATTGGGATGCCCCATGAGTCCAAGTCCCCAACTTTGTATACCGTCGACGACACTTTACCAATCCCTTGTCCTAACAATACCATCAACACCACTATGCTGCTCAAACTCATCATTATTCCCATCTCTGTCTCTCTCTCTCTCTTGATTGGTGAGTTTTGTTTCTCAGATCTCCTGAAAAAGCTCATATAAATTGGTGAAGCAAAGGAGTGAGAGAATGACGGTTGTACCCCTGAGGATTGGTCACATGGCTCGAAGTGGGCAATGTCGCATCGTATCAATACATAAGAGGGGTCTAATCAATCATTTATCTTCTATAATTTAGCGTCTGCTTGCTTTGTGCATTCTGCGCTTTCACATGGCCACCAGGTCTTATGTATAACGTGCGGTTCCACGGATTCAAATGTACAAGTTTATCTTATGACTACACGCTCGCGTTGCAATTTTTTCTAACACAATCAGTCCTTGCCTAGTTCAAATTTCATTTGGACTACTGTGTGTTTCATGTAATAGACATATATGTGACTAGTTAGTTTGAACCAAAATATAAGCGGTAAAAGAGGTTGGACTTCCTTTTGAACACCAACACCAACACCATTTCAGCATTTCTATGGTTTAGGGCCAAAAACCTCTGGACTTCTAAAGATTGTTTTTTGGGGCACAAAAAAAAAATGCTGAAAGATTGAAGAAGAATAAATGGCCAAAGCCTCAAATAAGCTGATTGATGTGCACATGTCTGAGTGTTCGCTACATCTGGTGGAAGCACAAAATCCAAACATAACTAGCAAGATACTATGGGTTTGAGTGGAAAACGTATTATGACAAGTAGAAAATCATCAAGAGAAGAAAGCCGTCTGAGCAACGGCGTTTACTCTTTTTATGTCATCGGTGATGGAATATCGGTTATTATGGGTTTAGAGGGTCAGCTTCTGAGGTCATCTCCTTTGCTGCTGACCACTCTTGTGATCCTGCAATGGTAATAAGATACACTAGAATCACCGGTCCTCAAGAAGATGATCAGATCAAACATGTTTAACGTATGATGGGAATGCATGCAAGTATGATTAAAGAATTTATACGCATGCAAGTATGATTAAAGGCAATGTTCACCCATTCGAAACTCATCTAGGGATAGCTGCTTTTGTTACATTTCATCAATGAACAATGATAATGACCCACAGTTTTTGATGGGAGCATATATTATTTCCATGATAGAATATTCCAAAGTCCGCTAGTTACTTTCTATGACCCAATCAAGCGTTGTGTACCACATGACTTTTACTTCTCATTAAACTGTTTCGTGAGTAATGTCAGAAGACTTACTTGACTTGTGGATCTCGGCTACATTCATCAACCTCCTCTGCAATATAGAGGCCACAAAAAGGAATACAGAGCACATCCCAAACATCACGGTCATTGGAAACGCATCAACCTTTAGCATATAAAGAACATAAAAGCCCATTAAGTCCATGGAAGTGGATATTTACTGTACTAGTTTGCATCCAAATGAAGAATCCGCATGATGGATATTGAATAGATAACTTTTAGATTGTACTGCAAGTTTCTAAGGGCTAACATGTAGACACTACTCCTTGAATCTATATGATGGATATGTTCGCAAGCTTTTTGTGTAGATCTTTGGCTCGGCCTTGGTGTATCTAAAGTTCATTCCGTTTTATAGTGCTATAATACGAGTTACCTATCCCACCGATACTTACTGTACAATCGACATGTTCATGACGCTAGAGAAGTGTATTACTGGAAAAAAATTGTGTTTACGAGCAGATGGTTTCTTTTTAGCAGTGATGCTAACACTACTGTCTTAAAAAAGTCTGAATAAAACTAAGAAATGGAAAACTCACATTGTACAGTACAAGGCAGACAAAGATGTTGAGTGGGATGCGGAAAAAATTCATAATGGTGCTTCTGGCTTCCTCTGGAATGTATTGGGATCTCATCTTCATTATCGATGGCCAGAAGATTCCTACACACGCTTCGAATGTGCAGAAACCCATTAGCTGAATGCATCCAGAGAATGATATGCTACCACCTTTTACACCTGAGGGCGCCACCAAGAACTGCTCCAATTGGAAATTGAGAAATTATTAATTATTATATTGCTAATACTCCTTGAATATGGAAAGTATATTGCTAATACTCCTTGAGTATGGAAAGTAAGTAATGAGTAATATCAAGATGGAGAGCATACGCTTGTTAGAACAGGGAGCATTAGAGCAGCAGAAGATATCACAAATACGATCTGCATATAGCTCTCTACTTTTGGTGACGAGTGTGCCAACAAACGAGATGCAATGGAGCTACCAAGCATTGAGGCCAGCATGAATGTTGCAAATATGAAACCATGTGGAATGTCCTCATCATTTGGGCTCAAAGCAGGAGTCCAGAGAAACACAAAGGTGTACATGGACCCTTCAAACAGAGACTGTATAGCACCAAGCAATGCGATCTTCTCATCTGAATCAATAAATAGATAAGAAAAGTGGTGAGTGGGATAAAGCTAGAGAAGGAAAGCCATATCTCTAAAAGCAGCCCAAGGTAAGAGGTTCACCAGAAGCAATGGCAGATGCCGCGTTCTTGAACTGGGTAAGAAGGTCTTTGTTTTCTGATGGATCGCCATAGTTTTCTGACCATGATGATATAATGACGGCCATACCTATAGCAAGAAAGCAAGCAGCAGCATCGAATGGAGCAACCGGACCCAGGGACAGAGAGTCCACAAGGAAATTGCCAAAGAGCCCAGCTATGATGGCCACTAATCCATTCCCAAGGAATATTGCCTTGGAGAATGTCACTGATAGCCATTGCTGCTCGAAACCTCTCTGCACAAGAAAAAAGGAAAAAAAAAATCAAGCAAAGCACTATTGACGTGATAGGAAATGGGGAGGTAAAGGAGGCTGACCAACCTTGTTGTGCTCAGCAACTAGCCAAGACTCGAAGGCAGAAAAGAGCAGAGAAGTTGCGATACCACCGAGAACACGACCCACCATCAAAATCTTGTACTGGGGAGAATGTTTGGTGATACAGCTGAGAATATAAGTGATGCAGTAGGTGATAGAAGCTCTCTTTCGACCCCTAAGTTACCATGAAAATGCCCAACAAAAATTAAACACCAAAGTGTATTTCACATTAGAAGAAAGTGAATAGGGTGCTCACTGTTTGTCGGCAAGAGATCCAACAATCGTCCCAAACAACATTGAAGATCCGAAACCAGCAATAAACAGCTGACCGATCTCTCCCTTTCCGAAGCCATAAGTGCTATAGAGATAGTACACATACGGACCCTGCAACCAGTCCCCAGCTAAAGCCGCGGAGAAGAGACATTGTTTGTTTAATCAACACAGCACAAGAAGAGACGACAATACGAACGACAATTTCCATCAAATCACCGATCTAGTTCCACCTACGCTAACAATCAGAGCGAATCGGCGCAGTAACACGGATCGGCAACGAGGGAAAAAAAAAAAAAGTAGAATCGAAGAGGTTAGATCTACGAACCCATCATGAGAGAGTAAACGAGGAGATAGTTGTTCTTGAAGGAGTTGAAGGCGGAGGAGGTGTTAATGCGGTCTTTGTTGGATTTGCTGAGCTCCAAGCCGGCGACGATCGCAGCGAGCCCACCGAACACCACGATGTAGAAGATCTCCATTGTTAGATCTCAATTCTCGCAAGCAAAGGGGAAGAAGATGAGATTGTGATTTGATTTGTACAGTATGGAGTGAGATTTAAAAGCCTCTCAATTTCATTTATTGATTTATTAATCGAATTTGCTTAACTCAACAAATTTCATTCAATTTAAATGAAACTATTAGTAAGGAAATACTGTAGAATTAACAGAGCTTATTTAACAGTATACTTTACTCGACACTGTTGTGTATTTAACTAACTATACATGATTTTAATTGACCCCAAAAACCTATACATGATCTGTTTCGCTTTTTTTTTTTTGTTAATCTAATATCTTTGAAATCTCTGTAAAACCAAAAACTGATAATATAGTTTTAACATTTAACTAGGGGTTGATCCGTGCTTCGCACGGAATTTTATATTGTATTTGTTGATATATGTAAAAGAAATCTCTACAATATCAATTTTTTTTATTAGATTTTGTATTTCAAATTTTTATATATATTTATAGTATTTAATAATTTAATATATAATATTTAGAAAATAATCAAATAATATATCAGTTAAAACTTCAAATCAAATTTCGTTTGTAGATATCTTTATATTTATGTGAGTTTATGATTTTCGAATATATACAATTCTTGATTGTTGCATTCAGAAAAAAATATATGTAATAGGCAATTAATTATTTAAAAATATCTCGATTCTCTAACGTATTTCTAAAATATATTTATAATTTTTTTTTTCTCCACACCCATTTCCCTCTGCATCTCCCTCTCCCTCTCACTCTCCTTTTCCTTCTCATGTTCTCTCTCATCAATGCAACATGTTAAACCACATACAACATATTAGATCGGTTAAAATTTCTATCTTTCTCAGGTTTTTTTTTTTTAGCCACTCTCAATGTCACATCTCTAACCTGAACTCTGTATAATTTTTAAGGGAAACTTCACCCATTTTATGTTTTAAAGATTAGGTTGAACATATTAACATTTTGTGATACCACAATTTGTTTCACAAAATATGCATTCTCACATCTTTATATTATTATTTAAGTAGTCATTTTAAAAAATAATTTTTATTTTGTAAATTATTACATGATATGCTATTACAAATAACAAAAATAATTAAAATAAGAAATGATATAATTGTCACTCAAGCTTTTTGAAACTCGTGCGAATATTCTTTACCCGTTAATATGCATTTAATTTTATGATCTATTATTCTATTTTTCTTTAAAATTATGTCTTTTGTTATATTCTAGTGTTTATAACGGTTTTAATACAAATTTGGATATTTTTAGATATTAAAAATTTTGGATCCGAGAATTTGTTTCTCGGTTTTGGCAAAACTGGATCCAAATCCGGCTATCTTAAAATTTAATGGTTTACTATTCATATCTATCAAATCATATAAATAAAATAAATCATTTAAAATAATAATGAATAAATGCATTAATATATAAACTATTATTTATAAAGATTGTCTTTTCATATTCTTGTTAAATTAATGGATGATAGTTATCATGAGAATTAAAGTATAATAACACAAAATATAATAAATTATAAATTAATAAATGAATTGATGATGTGTCAAAATTTTAGAGTTTGAGAAAATGATGTGGCATCATGAGAAGAGATAACATTTTACTTGGTTTTAAAACAAATTTGGATATTTTTAGATATTACAAATTTTGGATCCGAGAATTTGTTTCTCAGTTTTGGC